GTGCGCGGTCGGAGAGCGGTGCTCCCCGCGGGCCGGCTTCTCGTGAAACCTCTCCGGAAAGGCGGCCGGGGAGGGTACCTTTACCGGAAGGCTTAAGGCTGTAAAGGTGTCCTGGTGACAAAAGGTGTGGTTTCATCTGGAAACGCGTTGAAACAAAATAATCAACTTAATTCAGCCGACGAGCGCTTCTCTCCCGCCCCCAATTGTTTGCCGAAAAGTACCGTATAAACGAGAGTTGCATTTATTTATTTATTTATTTATTTATTTTCTTATTGTGTGCAGTGAACCGGTTTTGCAGGATGAGCACTGTGACCGAAGAAGTTAAGCCAGAAGATGGCAAACCGGAATCTGAAAAAAAAATATTTTATTGTGAAGTGAGTGCGTTTCTTGACGGCTTTTCAGACTCTATGCTAAAATGCAGGCCTAAGGTATTAAAGACCACGCTCTTAGACCTAACCCAGCTGTAGCGTGGCAAACGTGTGAGTGAGAGAAGCTGTTAATGTGGCGAACACCGTGGTCGGTCCCTGCAAGAGCTACTTGTCTTGGGATTCGGTGAATTCGGTTTGTTCTCGAGCAGCCACAGGCACAATATAAAGGTCCTTAATTGTAGCCTTTCGAATCTCTGTTAAGTATCTCTCATAGGCGACTCTAAAGGCTCGCTTATCTGTAAAGGCTACAACTCTGAGTCAGAACGTGTTAAATTTGTCGATCGTATGTTGTTCTAGCAGTGAATTTTTTTCTGGCACGTTAAACTTCTGGGACGGTATGTCAAGAGAATAGGCGATATTAGCATGTATTAGTCATTGCATTTTTTAGCTAAAAATAGTAAGAAATAATAGTAGATCTGTATCGTCTTCCATTAATTATTGTAATGGCATATGTGTGTCTGTGGATCTTAATGAAATGCAGATGTCTTCCTCCATTGTTTTTCTGATCCCTTTGATGTAACAACGAACGGAGTTGCAGTTATTCTAGGGCATAATTTTGTCTCTGTTCCTTTCTAGTCACTGTACGATCATCCCTTTTTGTTGGCTTTCCAGCCTGAAGAAGTTTAGAAAACTAAGAATCCAGAAAGTGGTGGTAGGAGGGAAGGGGGAGGCTCTTAGAAGATTCGTACCACCTGGTATATTTAAACATGTGTTTTAAGTATCGTTTGAACAGGTTTGCACACTATTTCTGGTCACTTTAGTGGTATGCAACTCTCCTAAATGTCACACAAATTGTACTGTTTAAGCTGAAGAAGGCCTTGAGAATTATGCTGTAGAAACGGATGTATTTCCAGTTCTTATAACTCGCCAACTACAGAATATCCACAGCGTAACTGAAGATGTGCTTTCAATTTATCTTTCTAGGTTTGTAAAGTTCCATGTATGAGTTCTATAAGTCTTCAGTCACACTATCGTGGTGCAAAGCATAGAAAGGTAACCTTTTTTCCATATTAAGTGTATGTGCAAATTTACTGAATTTTACAAGAATCCTAGATTTATGATTAATTTACTTCACGTGGCTTCAAGTGCTTATCTAACTCATTGGTAGATCTATAACAGTAATTTGCTTGAAAAATCCCGAGAAAAAGATGAGGTGGGAATCTCACAATGCTGTTTTGTACAGCATATAACTTGAAACATCGGCCGTACCTAAAGGTAAATGTGTGCTAATTGTGAAATTAACATTTGAATTACACGGAAGTCACAGATGGTTAAAGAATGCAAACATCTGTTTTGGATAGAGTTGGTAAAAGTACTGCTCTGTTTTCCAAGTCTACATAACTCACGGGTACTTTAAATAAAACTAGCTTACTTGTTACTTTGATAGTAACATCAATTCGGATTTCCTGCAGGAGTTACATAGGCTGAACTACTGAGTCCTATGGTCCCGTTTGTTTGAAGCATCTCAATAGCAACTTCCTGGTTTACTGCCTTTGCTTGTTTTGTGCTTAAATTATTAGACAACGTTCTGTGAGGCTGTATTTAGAGACGAGGCTTTTCTAAACGTTTGACTGAACTTTTGGCTGTCGATTGGCTGATGACATCTTTTGTTTAAAATTCCACATTTTCAGTCTATAAAGTTGAGCCGTACTCAGTTGTCTGTACTTTCCACTGTTACTTACGATTGCTGTCATCAGATTGTTTGTATTGTTGTGGCACCGAAGTGCCTGCTCTAATGTTTTCTTAATGACGGTTAATTCTTCCTGGAACACTAAAGACTAACTGCAATACTGTCTTTCTCCAATGTTTGTGTGCCCCTTTTCTTTCAGTTGTAGATGAGGGGCATCTCCCCACCTCTTGGTTTTCAAGACGGATTAATAGTATTTTGTTACTTATTTGCTGATCACTTTAATAGCGTTGACTCTTATTTGAGTTAGTGGCTCCGCTTTCTCCACTTTTTTTTTTCCCCAGGATTCAGTCGTCTTGTTCCCTGTTGATCCAGTAGAAGTGTACAGTACTGTAGTATTTTTCATGTCCTGCCAAATGTTCTTGCTGATGCAAGAAGTTCTTTTGGTTTTGTGGCTGTTTCTTTTTATTTCCTAGCTAACCTTCATAGCAATCCAGCTAACCTTCATAGCAATCCAATTATTGCTGTTGCTCCCTTTTAAACTGGAAAGACTAGTGATTATTTTCTTAGAAAATCTGCATGTAGTTTTCCTTCTGTTTCACTCCTGGAAATCAGCGTATGCTAGGCTACAACTGTCAAACTTTATTGAGTTAATGAAGGACTGCAAACTGATGGTGAACAAGAATCAGGCAGGTTGCAAACTGGATGCTTGTTAGATGTTAAATGTTGGTGCTGGGGTGTGGAGTCCTGGTAAGTCCCATGACTGCATTTCTGTAGGAATGATGATGCAACCTTGGAGAGTTATTGTCTTCAATTACTTCTAATTCCTTACTTTAAATTATGAAATCTATTGTATGTTTTGGTGGAAGAAGATCAGAATTCATTGGGTTACCACAAGAAGTTTTTGTATCGCCAAGTTTGAAGTAACTGTAAAGGTCCTGAGCTTAGGTTCCTTTTTGATACAGGCTAGGTGTTGATAGTGAATAGCTCCTAGTTTATTCCTTACTAGAGGAGTTCCTGTTCAAAATAATACTAAAGGATGTCATGGCAACATAACAAAATGAAGGGAAGATGGTAGTTCTTTACCTAAATCGCAACACTGGCCAACCCACCAGACTTTAGTCAGATGACTCTCTTATTTTCTTTCAGCTACCCATTTGTTTTTAAAATGGCATTGATAAAGATACTTTGTGCTTGTCCTCCGCCAGAGGAAGTTTCAAAAACACAAGAAATAACCCTTCATCAGGAGAAGGACAGTCACTGAGAAAATTCCAAGAAACATATGTAAACACTTGCTACACGTGTGAAATGATTCTCATTTCATTGACCTACATTTCCCATAGCTATTCAAAGTAAAATGTGTTATTTGGAGTAGCTGCACTAGTAAAGCTTGACTATGTGACAGATTTGTAGGAATATTTCAGTTGACTTTGTGTACGTGGTTATTGTATCTCTTTTTTTGGTCACCTGGGTAGTTTGGTTATTATGAATTTTGGATAGGTACATAAGATATTTATCTAGCTTACTTCTGCATACCTTTGTTTCATCTTTATATGTTGATTGGTTTGCTCACCCGTATGTCAGTACCGTTGACTCCTAAACAATAGCATCAGAATGCATAATTTATTTGAAAAAGGCCACTTCCTAAACATCTAAGCATACCTCTTAGAGAAATTGTGTGGAATGCATTGCTTCCATAAAACTAGGGAGATTTTTATTAGTGACCTATGTATAACCAGAGAATTAAGACTTTTTTTTTAGGAAATTAATTCATATGTGCTACACTTCTCAGACTCCAAGGGTATTGCTTTTGATGAGTTAGAGATTTTTAGGGTGTTTTTCCGGTACTGATTCTCAGTCTGGGTATTTGAACTGACAGTGCTTAAATCATTTGCTGCTGGAGGGGAAAATGTAAATAATATCTGTCCCTTCATGGCAGCTTAGGCAGACTACCCAGATCTGTTATAAATTGGACAGAAGTTTTACTCTTACTTTTACCCAGAATATCTTGCTACTTCTCAAACTAAAAGAGAATAAGCCTATACCTAAAGCCTTGTGGAATTCCTTTGACTGTGTTGGAGGCTAATAATTTGGTGCATTAAGCTGAGTCTACGTATTTACAAGAAAGTGAGTCCTGTGTTGTTTCATTTGGGTTTGTTTTTTTTTTTTTCATTTGTATATTTGCAGGCTTAATGCTCTGTAATCCACTCAATTGATGTGTGATTGACTTCAAGGGATAGAAACAGACTGGATGACATATTGCATCATAAAATGGAAGTAATTAAAAAATATTTCAAGCAACTGATTAGTCAGTGCAATGACTTTCTTCCTAGTTTGTAACTAGATTAGGTTTTGTTTATTTGAAGCCTTTTCCATTTGCACTTTGAAATTTATGTGAATTGTTTCAGAATGAGTATTTTTTTCACAGTAGTTGCTCTAGTCAAATAATAGATGATCAGTTATCTAATTAGATAAAATTGTTGCCACTTGCATTCTATGATATATGAAACTTAAAAGTAGAAGTTCTCAAGTCTTTGAATGCTTAATTTACAAAATATTAGGTAATATCTTAATTCTATACGGTGTACCTCTTTAGAGTTCAGTTAGTTTCTATCCCTGAGAGTTGATTCTTTGTTGTGCCAAGGGTTCGTATGTCTCACTGACTTCAGTGTTCATGCTATGATGCTTTCTGTGTCCTTGAACTGAAGCTTGAGTAATAAGCAGAATACACATTTAATTTTTTCTAGTGCTGGTAGTTCATGAGGCCAAACCCCTGTAAAAAGTACTGGTAGACAAAAGATTGTGGGGTTGGGATGACTGCAGTACAAGGCTGTGTATATCTTGTGCATCAAGTGCCTTATGACCTTTGTATATTTGCATACTGATGGGTTTTGTGGTTTTGTTGCTGAATAGGTATTGGTAGGGACAGTGGGTGGGTGGAAAACCACTTAGGCAAAATAGCATTCATACATGTGCACGTAGTTCTTAGCTCTTTGGAAATTGGGATTAGCTTGTATTATATACTTTGAAAAACAGTTGAATGTTACTTTTAGCCATTATGGTAAAGTGGTTAGAAAATAATGTTTATATAAGTTTACTAATGCTTTTCATTGAATCAAGTCTGTAAGAGCAGTGGGGGATATACTGCCTGAAAGGTGGGGTTGGGTTTTTTTTGACAGCTGAGTAAAAAGCTAGGGCCTTTTCAGGGAGCGGTCCCCAGATAAAATACACCTGGAATATGATGGTATGTGATATATTTCATTCTGGTTTTGCAAATACGTCTTGGCTTTAGTGCTCAGTTTGCTAGAGAGGAAATCTTAGAGTGGAATGTCTTTTTTTGCATGTATTTTGAACAGCCCTTTGCAGGTATGGCACCAGCAGAAGTGTGTTGCCTCTTCTGTGAACTGTATTTGGAGCACAGATGAAGATTGTTCTGGTTCTATCAAGGATTCAAGATTCTTTGCCCTCCCTTCATATCTGGGGATAGACAGGGTAGAAATGCCTACTGTGTTCCAGAAGGAGAGGAGTCTGCATTCAGGGCTCTACAACCCCATTAGAAACAAGGAATGTTCAGATCTGTGAAGAGAGTTTAGTTTTTGTCTTCACTATTTCAGTGTTCTCATTTCTGCTATACCTCTTGCCCCTGGTTGTCGTGCGTCAGAACCTGTGGTTGAAAGTACCTCATGTACAGACAACTTTTCTGTCCTTTCATATGGCATTAACATCAACCATGCTGGAAAAGCATTTTAATTGGATATTTTTGTGTTGATACTTGGAATGTTAATATAGCTACGTTTCAGTTACAGGAAAATTGCCTTGCTGTTGTATTGTTTATGTTTGGTCTCAAGAAGTATGCTGTTATGTTCTGCAGCTTATCTTCATGATCCAAAGAGGCTTAAACTGTAGAGCTTTTCTTTGGAAAAAAAAAAACACCCTTATTTGCTTAGTATAAGTTTGAAGAGTTAAAATAAATAGAATTTCTGCGTATGGGCTGCTAACATCTAGCTGATATGATTTCCAGAGTGTGTACATTTAGGAACAACTGAATTATGTTTACATAATACTTAACTATGCATGTGAAACTGTTTTGTTAGATAACCTGTGAACTTGAATTGTGTGGAAAATTAATTTATGCAGTAGCTCTTACAGATTACAGTGTGCGTGGGAGGTTTGAACTCTAAAAAACAGCAGTTTTTGAGTTTTGGCTTCTCAAAGTTAGACGCTTTGTTAAAAGTTACCCTAACTTTTCATGGTCTTAGCTCAAAAACAGCTGTTGCAACTTGCTTGCAACACATGACCCAGGACAGAGAATAAGTTTCTTACATAATGTGTGAGAATCTTCATTCCTGATGTAGTTTTGGGTTTTTTGCTGCTTGCTGCTTTTTTTTTTTTAAAAGAAACCTCAAGAAGGGGTCACAAATAAAATAGACCCATTAGCTTCAGTTGTGGAACTCCATTTCTAATGTTAACAAAAGCAGTAATCTAAGTGCAATCAAAGTCAAAGCTGATTGTCCAAAAATGGTCAGGAAGAAATTATCTTTGAGCAGCATCTCATGGTTGCTAACGTTTTCTACGCTTGTCTGAAAAGTTAGGTAGTAGCAGCTGTTTGTTGTAAAACTCTGTAGAATGACAAGTAACGAAAACACTTGCGGCAGCATAACTACAAGGGAGACTGTGTCTGTATTCTAAGCTTATAAAATCCTGCTGAGCTCATACAACACCGCCCACTATCTGTGGCGATACTAGGACTTAGGTAACTTCCTTTTTTATAACTGCCATGAAAGAACAGCTATTTGGCTTCTTAAACAATTAACTGTTGTGTCAGTCTTGCTTCCTACTGAATTGTCACATTGACGTGCAGCATCTCTTCCATGCCACTGAATACTGAAAGTATAGCACTCAACTCCATGGACTGCTCTGGGCAGACAGCTGCTTTACTGGTAGAATGATCATGCTTATTGTTTCATTCTTGTAAATGGCAAGTTTATGTTTATTTGCCAGAAAGTTCTCAAAATGAGTCAAGATCGTTTTAGCCATGGTCTGAAATGGAAATTTAAGTTCCTCTTTTTCTTAGATTCTGCCCAAAAGCGATCTGTTCTGGATTCAGCTGGTGAAAGGCACTTTTCCTGTTCTTCATTATATGAATGAACTTTGGGGAGATTTGGCTAGCCTTAAGGTTTAGCGAAATCCACTCAAAACGGTGGGGAAGCTGCTTTTTGTTAGTTTGTTCTTCCTTTTGGGGCGAGTTTTCTTTTTCTTTTTTGTTGGAACTACAACTTTTGAAAACTTAGGAGCCATAATCATGCAGAACTCAAGGTTTTGTCTGGCATCCTTGAGATGTTGTGTTTCAAGCCATAATCATCTCTTAAAACTTCATTAATAACAGGGCTTTCTTGAAATTAACTTGTATTAACTGTAAGTACACTTTTGACAGTACTTCCAGCTTTTGCAGAAAATCATAAAGGCTCTAATTTTTCCTATTTGATAATGGAAACTTTGGCCTATATTGTAATTCATCTGCAAAGGCTTCTCAGGAAGTACAGGGTTTTTCCTTCAAATGGTGCAGCATATTAATTTCTTTTTCTTATTTTATTTTGGGATGACTTGCATCTTCATAATTAAAGAAAGAGAAAGCCCTGAGACCCAAGACTGTCTATTGTAAGTATAACACTTTTTTTCTTTCCAGCCTCCTAGGATAGATACTGCTTGGGGATTTTAATATTTGTTGCTTTTCTAGTAGTTCAAGTATTTGCATTTGCCAGATTTATGTATCTAGAACTGTGTTTCTCTTTATATGCTGAACATTCTTCTGAGATTTCTATCTAGTGAACTGCTGAGCAAAGAAAGATTTTAGAGCATGAAACCTTAATTATGCCTTTCCACATCTAAATATTTGTGTATCTATCTAGTAGAGGGATGGATAGTCAGTATTTTAGTTTCTTACCTTCCCAGGCTAAACTGTCTCCCACTTGTCTGTCAGCTTTATGCACTCACCGCTAAGCTTCAGGCAGTATGCTAAGAAGCTAAATCAGCAGGCTAACAGAGCGCTGTTGCAAATGCAGCTCTACCAGTGCTGGAGTTGCCTAGCTGCATCACAGGAATGTTCTGCCTCTCTTTATTGTAGTGTACTTGGAGTAGAAAGACCTATTCAAGGTAAACTCAGTTGTTGGGGTGTCTTTTCCCCCAGAAACTGAGAATGTGAATCCAGACTGTCATATGTCAATGAAAATAAGAGTTGTGGTGAAAGATTGAAAACATGGGATATAACTAGTTCACAGTGGAAATGGAAATCTTGTTGTAAAGGCACTGATGATGACGTACAAGATTTTTAAAGTACAGGAAGCAGAGAACATTGGCAGATGTGGGAATACTGATAAAAAAACAATTGAGAAGATTAAAAAACCAAAATGGAGTCATCAGAAGAAATAAGCCTTTCACTTCTACTTTATCTTCTTAGCCTGTTTTCCTAAGAAACAAGGCTTACGTTCTGGCTTTGTCATCTGTTCCCCAGTATCTTTTGAACCTCTCAGCCTTTTTGAATCAAGTTGATCAAGGGTTCCTGAAAATACACATCTGCACAGAGGAGAGCGATGGTGTCGGTCCTCTACTGAGGGAAGTGCTGCAGGCTGAGCTCACCGTTTACTGGACCCTGAAGAATCAACACAAGAGAAAGATTTAGAAAAACACTGATCAGAGTCCATTTTCTAAGAGACTGGCTTTTATTAGCTGCTCTCATGGTTTGGTGTTGACAAGAGAATATCGGTGCAAGACATATCATTCAAGTATGTGAACAATTATGAGACATTTTGTCTCAGCAGACACGAGTACTGCGTGCTCTTCTCTTTTTAGAAATACTGGTAATGAAGCTCCTTGACAGAATTTCAGCAGAAGTTCTGAAAACATATAGGTCTCCTCAAAATCCAATGGATTTGAGCAATCCAAAATTGTATTTATACCTTGGCAACAACAACAGATTTGTTTGGCAATGGGCTAGTGTTTTTAGTGGAAAACAATTTCTAGAGATTTCTTTGTATTTCTCGTCAGAAATGGCCATAAAAAGTAATACTCACTAACTGAAGAGGTTCTTGCTTCAAGACCATAAAATCTTGTTTTGGAGGAATAATGTAAAGGATGCATGGGACAGAAAGTGAGACTTGAATAAGAGGACAGAAGGTGTGGCCGCAAGACTGTAAAAAGCGTGGTGGAATACAGGAGCCTGTTGCAAAGACCTACGCCTTCAGAAAACAGTACTGCTTAATGTACTACAAGCTCAGTGTTCCGTGGAGAATTCAGGTTAAGAACATATGCTCATTATAAACACCGCATCTCTGGAAATGTCATAGGTTAGAATCTTTCAGCTGTGATGTATCTTACAGAATGAGAAGAGATGTTAAAATATCTGATTATTAAAGTGAAGAATCTAGACATGAAACTTTGGTAAACAAGTTAGAGCTAACTTCTGGAGGAGTCCCAGCATCACATGGTACCACATGTCAGAAGCATTGCAAGATGTGCTTTAATCCAGAAAGTTCCGTGCCTCAATAATCATTTTGAAGCAATCAACATCTTTTACTTCTAATATGAAATGATTATTCGTACTATTGATGTCTCCTTTATTGTACTTTATCCATATCGAATTCTGCTTCACTGAAGATCCAGACGTGGAAGGCTAATTTGCAAGCCACTGTTAGGGTTTATTTGTCCAAAAGAGGCTAAAATTTGGCCTGATGAGGTTTATT